TATGATTTTATTAAATCCCGTAATTGGTAGACTTACCATGAAAATAAGATAGAGCACATTATATAAAACCAGTATTTTGATATTATTATCAAAATACTGGTTTTATATATATTTACTTACAGCTTCTTTTTCAATCAACCGTTTGATAACGGGTAACCGAGGAAATAATTGCATTGGCACTTTGAGCACTAACTCCAAATATTTAATTTTTTGTAGTTCTCTCAACAAAAAATAACAAATTTGAAAGTACTCTAAGCAATCATTAAAACTACTAAACCACAATTGTCCTACAGGTTAATTTCTTAAATGATTTCATTAGCTCAGACCGTGTACTGATTTTACCTTCATGAGTGGTTACAATGAATACGGTGTGTAATAGGTGTATTGCTGGCTGATGATAATATAAAAGAGGAACTGCAGAAGCGTATCCTTGTCTGAATGAAAAATACTGCTTTTATTAAAAAGAGTGAATGTGCGACAATTGGTGTCCCAAGATGGACGTAGTATGCACATGCAAGTCGGTATGAACTCCGAAAATCTCGGCTAAATACTCTAACACTACTCAAGTGTAGGATAATTTTACATCCTCCTCCATTTAATATAACCTCGAACCTTTATTTTTATTCCTTTATCTTTGGTTTTTTTGCAGAAAAGAAATAATGTTTCACACATCATGTCAACACAAAGAATTCAAAACAGTACGTAGAAAACGTAACATTCAGTTCCGTGAAATAAACACACATGTGAATATGTAAATGTTGTCTATATGACTTTGCTTTAAACAAATCCAACGTAATTGTCACTAATCATTAAGATAATCTCACAAACGTAATGTTACTTTACAACCTCATATTTACCATAATAGTAATCTTTTAATATAAACAAATATTGAACATGGTTAAATATTCACAATGTACTTAGCTAGATACTGGATTTTCCTTATTTTATACGAGTATTAGCACGCTGTTAAAACGTTATAAATGTTTATTGAAGTGGTCGTAAATTACCTAGTATAGTAATGAAAATAATAATAAAATAGTGACCCACATTGCAATGTTGATAGACCAACTAGATCACCCTGCAATGAATGTCTAAATCTCGAAAGGAGTCTCGTGAAAGTTGAAAAATCAAAAAAATAATTTGTATCATGAGATTATCTGAGTGTGGATGTGAGAGTATGTGGATTCAGTGATATTGTTGCGTAAATCCTTGAACAATATCTTAAAAGACTCATGTTTGACTGCTGGGTCAAGGAACTGATACAAAATACAGCAAGGAGGTGTCTTTCCTACCTGATTTCGGTGGTCTACTATTTTTTTATTTTTAAATACATGTTGTTTTTACTTTACTTGTACTTAAATAATATGTTAGTAAATATAAACAAAGAAAATCATAATAACTACAAAGCAACATCGGCAAAGCATAACATAGCCACATATTAACTACTAACCGGGCCATAGTAGGAAGGTCTTAAAACTCTTTCAAGTTTTTATAACTTTTTTATATTATAATAGTCGGACACGTCAGGTAAGGACAGAATTTAAAACAAGGTCGGATTAAGGTTATGTAAAACTACCGCAAGATAGTACGAACGCAATTTTTTTGTACTAAAGATTTAAAATTTTGGCATGGAGATATGCTGCATCATTTATATTATATTAGTCACGTCACCTAAAATAGATATTACATTAGGGTTTACCAGCTCCGGCAACTTTACATAAAATTCGTTAACTTCTTCTACTAAAGAACTAAAATTTGGCATCGGAGTTTAAAGGCAAGATACCTACGACAATACTCGTAAAGAATAGATTTTGCGACAGGCAGGCCCTATTGTATAATAGAGGCCGAAATAATCAGAAAGACAGTTGAATTGACTTAGTCTGGTTCACAATGTTAAATAAATAAAAAAGATGAAAGTCAGGTTTGTTTATTTTATTTACTGATAATAAATTTTATATACTGATAATAATTACAGACAGACACGAAGAAGTTAGCTAATAACGGATTTGAAGCAAATATCATCTGAGTTGCTTTAGACTACTTGTACTAGAGCACTTTAATAAGTCACTAGGTTACTAGAGCACTTTAATAAGTCGTCGTGCATCTGTGCACGGGGCAACTGCAACCTTGCCTAAATGTACAGTTCGATAAAAATACGCGGTAAATGTTTTTCCGTCAACAATAAACTGATAATTGTGTGAGGTCACAGTCGAAGGTTTGTCGGTAAAGTTTTCATTAAACAGGTCAACTTGTTTATAAACTTATTGATCTTGTAGATTAAATTCTCTGTTGACTAACAAGGAACGCATTCTACATATAATTATAATGATTTATATTATGATTTTATAACTACAATAAGTCCCATAGCTAATTTGTTTAATTATTTAAAACAAGCTATTGTCTGCAACTCCTACTACGAGTACTTAATAACTAGTGTCCGACCGAAACAGGGTTTTCAGCCGAAACCGAACTTTCGGCCCTTGTTTCAGTTTCGGCCGAAACGGAAACTCAAACTATAATTTTAAATTTTCGATGGTATACTGAAATCTAGTATATTTTTAGCCATTTATCTGCTTATTACGTACCACCTAAAACCACTGTAATAAGGTAGACACATGAAATCATGTGTAAATAAGATAAATTGTATATAGGTAGGTAAATAAAGAAAAAATACGTAGTAGTAGTACTACTACTACTAAGTACCAGAAATTCATCTATGTAAATGAACTAGATAGGTACCTCATGCGGCGGTACGCGGCCACGGGGCGAGGTGGCTGACTGGGTAATTTGAACTGACTATACGTGGTTTCTCATATATAAAGTTAAGCAACTGCAGATCACACGTAGTATAAGTTTTTTGAGTGGTTAAAAATGGTAAATTAGGGGTACAAAATGTAATTCAGCAACAATTAAGTAACCAATCAAGTATTAAAGTATCAAAGGGTCGTATTACCAAATGATACTTAAAACTCCAGAAACGCTCGAGGTTGGTTATCGCCTCATAAAACTACGCTCAAGCGTAGTTTTATGAGAAACGTTCTGTAATACGGCATAAGTAATATCTGAAGCGAACATAATCTCTTTTATGTGTCATTAATATAATAATGTATGTTTTTAATGTCAAAATAATAGTTTTTTTTCACACGCTCACACGGTTATTTGCACGATACCTATACCTACTTAAAAACCCATTTAAATGTTTTTTGCTTGTCTGTCGTTCTGTCTGTCTGTTTTTCCGGGTAAGCACAGTCAATCAGTTACATCTGCGCGGATACAATGATTAACTGGAATTTATCATTTAGTATTATTAGCAGTTCTTGCTGAAGCTGAAGAGAGACAAATACAAACTGATTTATTGAACCAAAAACAATTGTGGGTACATTATTTGTAGAGAACACGAGAGACCCGTCAAGACGAGTCAAGCTGCGTACTTCTTCCTCTGTCCCCCGCGCCCAGCCCAGTTTAAGTGGTCGCCACGCCGCTCCGATCCTAACATGTGACGACACTTTGTGTGATCCACGAATTGTTTTTCTGAGTCTGGGTGTTCTTTGTGTCCGTTTCATGTATGTTTTTAAAGTCCCCCGCGACACAGGATAATTCCTAATGCGTTAGTTTTAAACAGTCACCATCATTCGACTCGTCTTCCGACCGTCATTGTCTGCTCGCTAGCCCCCAAACACTATAAAAAAAGACCGCACTGGACGGCGGAGAACTGAGCTAGAGACGGTGTCCACTAGCTAGCCGCGAAGTTAACCAAACGACGCACGATACTTTACGAACACTTGAGTTTCGGCACGGCCTTAAGTTTCCGCCAATTTTGACAGAAACTAAACTCGTACCGAAAGTAGATTTTTGGCCGAAACTGACCGAAACCGAACCTTCGGTCGGTCACTATTAATAACAAAAACTCTTTATTATAGAATATATTTAATAATTATTTTTATTACTTTTTTTTCAGCCGATTTCCCAGCCAAAGATTATCATAATAATCTTTGGCCCTCCACCATAACCAAGGTTTTTTTTCTACGTTATATACCTCGCGTCGTCAGAAAATAATTTCGGAATTTTTACTCACCGCCATATTTATGGACAAGGTAATAACAACACTAGAATCTTTAAATTCTTTATTAGCTATATCACAAAACCGTTTAGTATTATAATGTCATTCACTAAAATAATAGCTTGTACCTCAGTGGTGCTAATTCTATTGTTCGGAAACTCTCTAAACAAAAAATAACATAAAAATTGTTTCATCAGCAGCCTTTAGTAGTCCACTGCTGGACATAAGCCTCTCCTTTCTCTTTGTTTAGTCCTGTCAAATACAACTTGCGATAAATTCCATGTCAGCATTGGATTTAGATATAACTGGATAACATCCACCAAAAGCTTTCATGGATTACAAATTGTAATTTTTAAAAACTAGAAAATAAAAATTAGATTTTTTTTGTGATTTTTAGTTTAGTTTAGAGAGTTTTCGAACAATAGAATAAGCACCATTGTGTCAACTTTCATAATAATTGTGTTACATACAATAATTCAAAAGCATCGTATAAACTAACATCTGTGTTAACCGTACGTTTAAATTCATTCTTTAAAATTAATTATTATTGATATTTTTAAACCATAAACAAAAATAGATATGAAACCTAACACCCATACATTTATAAAAACAAAATTTTAAAATCATATCAAAAACTTAAAATTTACTAACTTTGAAATCTCGGTAAACATCCATTAAGTATTTAATTACCATTGATATTTTTTGTAAATACTTTGATTAAGACAGTTACGTCGATCCTAACAGTCAACATAAACTTAACAATAACATAATTTTATGCTTAGTCAAGCTATACATTTTAGGATTTAACCTGAATACCTAAACTTAGTCAAAAATCATTAAAATTAGTACATATGCTCATATTCTATTGTCATTGGTTTGATAACGTGATAGAGAATTCAATCACGTTATAACGAATTGTCGCCATATTTATTACGTTAGTTTAATGCCTTTGTACTAATTTAACATGAACTCCGGTTTTAGATCTTAATATGAGGTCTGCACACAATACAGGCTCTATCTCGGAAGGCAATATTACGAAGTTCTTTACAATCTCCGATATCGTCACTTTTAACTCCATCATTGCGAACTTTTGGCCTATAAATAACAAAATCACCTTAAATTTTACACAAATAACACATTAACAGTAAGTTAAAAACATACACGTGATTACATATATCAGTAAGAAGGAATAGGAACAAATACACAAAATTTTATTCTTATCTACAATCCGAAATAGCTTTAATTTAATATTGTAATTGTAAGCAATATTTAAAAAAGTTCCATAAAATTATGAAACTTATGTACTTAGCATTTTAAAATAATATAGAGCGGTGCAGATTTGAAGCAAATAGAGGCTTTAAATTCAGCCAGTAGCTCGTGGTATTACGTTTGTGCGCACAATTTATAAGCACCGCAAGAACTTCTGCAATGTCGGCAGTCAGTTTCATTCTAGTGTGTTAAACAGTGATAATTGCTAAGAATACGTTTAGATTTAGAGAAAAATACCTCATGTGTAGATAATTAATAGGGTTTTACTAAGGCCTATTCAACAATTTGGGCACTTACCTATACAATTTCTAGGGCCAGCACTGAAAGCAAGCCAATTGAAAGGATTCTGCAAAGGTTTCTCGAAACGTTCCGGACGGAACTCCAGAGGATCGTCATACAACGCAGGGTTTCGCTGCATGTGAAATATGTCTATCACGACTGATGTCCCCTTTATCAAAGTTATATCGCCAATCTCTGTAGTATAAAAAATAAATATTAATGGAAATTTAATCGTTTCGTTGCCGTATGCAAATAGGTCTTACGATGACGTTAGTAATTTCTCAAAAGAAGTTGTGCTACTGTTAACATAAAATTAAACTCTTAAGTTTTAAATCAATCTTAGTTTTACTAGTTCAAAGGAACCTTAAATATTTTGTTGACGTATATATATTAAAACAATATTTAATCTGCACCGAATCCGACTGGCTGTTCCAATCAATCGATTTGCTCAATTTTTTTTAAAGACTAATTGTGCATTAGCACAGATTAGCTACAAAAATTGGAATTCAACTAACTGTTGCCCTTTTGAAATTGTATTCAATCGTGATTTCCTCCTATATAGACATTTTCAGAGCATTTTTTTGCAATTGAAATAAATACATGCGTCAATGTTGACGTATATCGCCTGTGTATAGATATACTATAGGTAGGGATTTGACATAACCAAGGTTAAAATAATTAACACTACATACACAGAATAATAAAGAAACGTTTTTCATAATAAATACGAGTCAGATAATTGCTTTTATAAATTACATACATTAAATGATAGTCACGTCATAACACCTCTATTAATGTCATGCATGGCTAGTTGTAAACCTGAGTTTGAAATGAGTTTGAATATTTTTATAACAAGCTACCGCTGTAAAAAAATCATAAGTGATTGAAGTGAAACCATAAACCAACCCAAAATGTCCCTATATGTTTGCCTAAAATAAATGCAGATGGATGCTAATTTACAACCTTAAATGAGAAAAATACGAGATACGTAAACTAAGTTACACTAAATTTCTAAATTAACATTCTTTCTCCGTCACACATTACTTTACCAAACATAATGTTTAAAAATTCATATTCTGATTCCTGTTATAATGTATATCTAGGTTACTTCAATATCTATTAAAAATTAACCTACATTTGATCAACATCAACTAACTCTATTTTAATAAAACTTTCTCATTCTCGAGGCATAAGATAGAATTTGTATTTACATGTTATTGGGCAGTTTTGGTTTTCATTTTCAAATCGAGCCAATTGTCACTTGTCATGTACGGACCAATGGAATTATTATTTTTAGTTATCCCAATCTATCTACCACCTCGAGGTAATACACATACAGGAGTATGTAAAATATATCGTAAGTCATTACCGCGCTAATGTTAAATATATAATTCTTTACTTACCAGAATCTTTGACTATCATGCGTTGAATGAGCGGTACCGGAGGGAAGAGCCGCATTGACTCTTTGAGAACTAACTCCAAATACTTCATTTGATGTAGCTCTCTAAAGAAATAACCACAACAATATTTAAAAGAAATAATATTTAATTTTTAAAAATTAAAAACTTAAAAACTAAACATTAAAAAATGCCAACATATCACCAAAAATGTCAGAAAACTTTCAGTTATGTTCTGTGTGTAAGCTACTTTATTCAGATCAAGTTTAGCCAGGCTTGAAAGCACAAGCAATGACGCTCAAGTTTGTACTTTATGGATATTCGCAATTCTACCGCTGCTAGCATCCATTCAACCAGATAAAGTTAAAGTGTCGGAGCACTCTGCATCCCAACGGTGGCTTCGGTGCCAAAATCCTGAATTATAACGATAGTTTCTTGTTCCAAATTTGTCTAAAACCACGAGGAAGCACGATGAAACTTTGGTTTGATCATGCAATTAGATTCATGTCGTAAAATACGTGGTACGAATGTGTGATTCTGGGAGGCAAAAATTAACACAACCATTTACTACATTCGCTCCAAGAAGAAAGTTTGTAAATATCTTATAGTTACTTAGAACCATCTTTCCCAAATGTTGGACACACCTGGAGTTGGCTAATTGTGTCCATCTGCCTCTCTCCATAGCATCTCTGAAGTGGAACTTTTTACAGATTTTTGAACTTTATCTGATTTGCCCATTGGGTTGATGACCGGCCGGCATTTCTCCAAACGATAATCAAAGTTGGATCATTTGATATATTACATATCTCACACTCACAACTCACAATACACACATTTAACTACAACATAGACCTAGACATAAAGTTTTGGAACATGAACAATGGAACGGTATTGCCATTGATCTTCATCAGATTATCTTACGAATATCATTTTGTATGCAACTCTCTCGTTAGCCTCATGCAGAACAAGTATTCATGAGATGGTTTACTGTAACATTTAAATTTGCCAATTTTCCTTCCTTGCATTTGTTTTATAATATAAAACTTAGTAAGCAAAGAATAAATTCCATTTAATTTATTTATTGAGTTAACTTATAATTATTTCACTTTGAACATGATTTTGGCGAATACACTTTAATTAATATATAATAATAATCTTAAATTTTGCACTTAAAATTTGACGTATATCGCTGCATGGTAAAATACTTTAGAAAGGCAAAGTTAAGTCTACCCCCGGTCGGAACGAAGTTCCTTTCGCTTTGTGATAATATATCTTATACACTATCATCACCAGCCTATCACAGTCCACTGCTGGACATAGGCCTCTCCCATTGCACGCCACTTAGATCGATTTTGGGCTTCTCGCAACCAGCTCCTGCCAGCCATCTTGCGCAAATCGTCACTCCACCTGGCCTGTGGGCGTCCTACACTACGTTTACCGAGACGCGGTCTCCACTCAAGAACTCGTTTTCCCCAACGGTTGTCGGTTCTGCGGCTAATATAGCCAGCCCACTACCACTTCAGCTTGCTGATCCAGTAGGCTATGTCGGTGACCTTGGTTCTCTGCCGGATCACCTCATTTCTGATGCAATCCCTTAGAGAAACGCCGAGCATAGCCCTTTCCATAGCACGTTGAGCGACTTTGAACTTGTGGACCAGCCGTACCGTAAGTGTCCACGTTTCAGCTCCGTATGTCATGATGGGTAGGACGCACTCATTAAAGACTTTCGTCTTAAGGCACTGTGGGATCGACGATGAGAAGACTCGACGTACTTTCCCAAACGCTGCCCAACATAACCGAATTCTTCTGTTCGCCTCGTCCTCGAAGTTGTTTCTACCTAACTGCAATGTTTGCCCGAGGTACACATAATTTTGAACAACTTCGAGAACGGCACCGTGTACCGCAATCGGTTCCGGTAGTACGTGTTCGTTGAACATGACCTTGGTTTTATCCAAGTTCATCCGTAGGCCGATGCGTACAGAAGTGTCAGCTAGGTCATTCAGCATTTGCTGTAGGTCCTGCAACGTCTCTGCCATGATGACGATGTCGTCTGCAAATCGCAAGTGAGAGATGTATTCGCCATTGATATTAATCAGAAGAAAATTGGAGGAGTTGGAAATACAGTAAATCCACTTCCCTCCTTAGCAAAGCGGGAGACAAAATGAAGTAAAATGGGCATACACCCTTTTAAACAGGGAAGCACCACGGCCACAAATATTACGGGTCCTACGTGAGCTATGTTTGATTTCTATAATATGTATGGCAGAATCGCCTAAACGCACGGAAATTCACCCTAGTTGACACAAGATCCCCATAGTATACCGCCCCAGATGTCACCTGCAAGCTATTCAGCATTATATTACGTTCATTATACCAAAGACTACATTCCCAGAGGATATGATGAGCAGACTGTTCATAGTGAGAGTTAGGTGTTGAGCATTGACACAACGGTGACTCGACTAATTTAAATGAATAAAGCTTGCTCTTAAAGTTACCATGACCCGTAAGAAATTGAGCGACACAGTGATCCACCTCAAGCCATATCCTCGACAACCGTTCGCGAATTCATTCATTTCCGCAATGAAATCTTCAACCGCACAACGTCGAACCGTGTCGGTTGAACGCAACTTGCCATACCATAATGAAGATGACGCATTGACATCAGCGCCAATGATAATTTTATGTCCCACGAGGAACCGCAAGACGTAACGTAAGTGATGTAAGTGAGGATCAATAGGATGTGAATATTGAAAATAGCAGCTCACTACGTAAACCTTACAGGTAGAGGATGAGATCTCAGCAACGGCGCAGTGTGACGTCATAAGATTACGCAAAGATGTTACCGTAAAATTAGAACTTGCAACATATATCCAAGCCTGCGAACGGCAGTCAAGCTGTACTACATTACGACGCAAGTGAGCGCTCTGATATTGTTCTTGTAAAAGGACAATGTCTAACTTTTGTTCTAAAATTAAACGGTCTAATTCTGATGTAGCTATTTTATCGTTATGAAGATTTAACTGCCCTATCGAAATATTATTCATTACTTAGTAAGTTACTCTTTAAACTTTTTTTTTTTTTTTTTAAACTAAGTTAAACTATTCAGTAATTGGTATTTAATATTAGCTGTTCCAGTTTTAATTTGTATGTGGCACAGTCGTATGAGCCGCATCGATGGTCAGATGGTTTTTTGAACCGCTTACACTGTGCGCACGTGGGCTTAAAATCTGGTGTGTCTTTATCTGGACAAGCTCGCGTTTCGTGTGCGGCGGCGCAATTAGCACAAGTAGGGGTTTTAATGGTGGTTTTGTACATGACCGAATTGCTGACAATTTAAGCAACGAAACGTACTTCTATATCGTCTATGAATCTATATGTGGCCCAGTCTATATAAAGTTTATCTTTTGTGTTGGCTAGATGTTTCCGAACTGCTGCCTCTAATTCTAAGCCTATCCATTGACGCCCATTTTCTAGTTTACGATGCCTAACAATTTTGGTTGACTTAATAAAATCGTTCTCACTTAATTTTAATTCGTCCTTGATATTCTGACGGTATAAGGCTGTTAGGAACGCACGATCTTCCATAGAACCGGGTACGTCTTTTACAATTATACGGGGCCTACGGCCTTTCGGTTTTTCTAAGCGCAACCTATCGACCGTAACCTATACTGATTTAATGGCGTCCACAGATTCCAGTCTCTTAAGCTGCCGTTCGTTAGCTACACGTAACACGACGCCTGCCTTAGAGGTTTTTTTAACGCCTACAATTTGAAATCCCTCATCGCTCGGTTTAATAGCCTTCATGAGAGCTTGTTTTGTTGCTGACGAGGTTGCATAGTCCGCTAAGCGTTCCGTAGTGGGATAGGCAATGACACAAGGCCTAGGGACGCGCGATCAGTAGGTACCGGGCACGGAGCAGATTTAGGTGGTAATCGAAGCTTAAGTTTGTCCGCGTACGTTAAACTCGTTTGTTGAGTTGCGATACCCTCCATTTGTCGCTCAAAATTCGCTAACTTCGTTTCGTTGCTAGAGGATTTTATTGCTAACAAAGATACGATACCGGTAATTCGTTGAGTAATATCCATAATCGCCGTTTTATTACCTACATTCATCCGAGATCCCTGATCATTAACTAATTCATTAATAATCAGTGGCCTGTGATACTAAGTCACAGTAGTTGTACTCCCCACAGTTATCACGACCAGTAGGAGACGAAACATAACCACTTAAGTCCGAATTAATAACGCGCCTACGGCTACTGTCTTTCGGCGAGAAACCCGTAGGTGACATTTCGATAAATGTCCTTTTCCCGGTTGGTGTTAGAAATTCACTTGTACCGCCAGGGTCCGGCAACTAGCTAACGACCAACATAGCCAAACAAAGACACACCAAACAACAATTTCAAAAGGAACAGGTTTAAAAATAAATAACACGCAGAGAAAAATCAATATAAACAAAGGATACCTCCTACCCACTTTTAGAAAGAAAATAAATTTACTCACCAATAGTCGTAATAAAATAATTCAGCACTATATTACTGTTTAAAAACAATAAAAACTTACTGACTTTCTTTAAAACACTATACACAACTTTTAGCCGCCCGCAAGCCGGAAACTAGTCGCAGAAAAAACAGAAAACAATATTTAAATTGTTAGCACATGAAGTCACACGTTAGTCGCACGGTGCCGCGAAGGGAAGTGTAGATGCCTGTAGATGTCGCTTAGAAGGGATATGGGTCGATAGTTCTTCAACCTGGTCTTGTCACCCTTTTTGAAGAACAAGACGACCACACTCCTACTCCACGCTTCCGGAGTTCTCCCTTCAAACAGGACAGCGTTGAAGAGCTTTTGGAGCTCCCTTAGTACAGGTTTACCCCCGGCCTTTAGCAGCTCTGTTGTAACGCCATCCTCTCCAGGGGCTTTTCCATTTTTCAGCTGTCCAAGAGCCATCTCGATTTCGTCAATGCTAACCTTTGGCAGGTCTTCGGTGTAGTGACGTGTTAATGTGGGTCTAGACTCCTCATTTTTGGGATCAGGTCGAGATGCATGCGAAGCGTATAACCGGCCATAGAAGCTTTCCACTTCCAAAAGGACTGCCGGCTTCGAAGCAACGACTTCTCCAGTTTCTGTGGTCAACTTTGTCAGGTGGCTTCTTCCAAGAGATTGTACGAACACTTTTGACCCCCGATTTTGCTCGATCGCTCTTTCAATTGAAAGAGTATTGGAGCACCGGAGGTCGTGTCGTACGAGGTTACTGATCTCTCGGTTTAGAGTCCGCTTTGCCGACAAAGTGACAGGTGGGTTTTCACGTCATTTCCTCATCAGCATTTCTGAAAGCTTCGACTTCCTGCCCTTACGCTGCATTTCACAAAATCTCGTACCTTCTTCCCTGAGGATCCGAACCACATTTTCGAGGTTCTGGTTTACGTCGATTGTGGTTTCCACGGCAGCGAATCGGTTTTCCAATTTTGACTGGAACGTTTCAGATCCTGTCATGTCTTGGAGCAAAGTCGGTCGGAGCCTGGATTTCATCAAACAGACCCGTTCCGCCTTAAAGTTGATATTCAGAGAGCCCCGGACAAGTCAGTGATCACTACCGGTATTAAACCTATTGATCACTGAGACGTCTCTGAATATGTGCTTTCTATCCGTCATGATGAAATCGATCTCATTTCTGGTCATAGCGTCGGGGCTTTGCCACGTCCACTTCCTTTGGGGCTGTTTCTTGAAGAAAGAGTTCATCAAAAAGAGCCCCTCCCGTTCGAGGAAGTTGATCAGCATTTGCCCCCTATGATTCCTGCTTCCAAATCCATGGGATCCTACTACCGATTCACCGCAATTCTGTTTTCCCACTTTAGCGTTGAAGTCACCCATAACAACGTTGTAGTGGGTCTTAGTTGTGAAGTGGAGGGCCCTCGATATGTCATCGTACATATCCTCCACCTCGTCGTCCGAGTGTGCCGAGGTCGGTACGTACACTTGCACAACCTTGAGGCTATACCTCTCGGTGAGCTTGATAATGAGGTACGCTACCCTGTTCGACACACTGGAAATTTCCACAACGTTGTCAGATAGGGACTTATTTACCAGAAACCCAACGCCACCTTGGGATTGTTGGTCTCCCTCGCGGAAGTACAATAGGTGACCTGACTCGAGGGTTATGGTGTCCTCCCCCTCTCTTCGGACTTCACATAGCCCTAGGATATGCCACCTAATCTTCCCAAGTTCCACCTCAAGTTGTGCCAGATTCGAGTCTAGCCGTATCGTGCGTCCGTTGTACGTAGCCAGGGTCAGTCGGTTATGGTGGCCTCCCGTAGCCCGGAGATTCTTCGCACCCCCTGGCTCTGTCTGCGTCTGCATGGGGAGGGTTTGCCCATAATCGCCACGCTGGGCAGGCGGGTTGGCGATCGCAGGGCGTAGCTTGTCGCAGCGGTAACGCTGCTGCCCGTCACCGGCCTGTTGTATTTAGCTACGCCTATTGGGATGGATATACCGCCATCGGTCGGTCGCCAGAGCCTCGTTCGTCATTCAGCAGGATGCACCGCGGGCAGGTGAGGTTGGCTTGGGGCGAAAGATAGTGGTTTGCCCCTCACACCCCCTTATACACTATATCATACTTTACACTTATACACTATATCAATAAGTAAGTTATAGTTACTAGGTAAAGTTTAGGATTTAATTAGTTAGAAAAAGTCGCACATTTCGTCCCGGGTGGCAGCGGCAGAGTTGATCGGAGCGGGCCTGTAAATATTGCATATAGAGATGTCCAGTGGTATTGTCCTATCATGATAATAGTAAAATTAATTACTCTAAACTGACACCACATTAGTAGTATTAATAGAATCTACATTGCACCCGTGCCAAGCCGGGGCAGATCGCTAGTAATTATACCGCTCCGTTCCTGGCGGCCGTTGCCACCCGGGACGGACGTACGGCTCGACGGTGAACGCGGCGATGACCATTTGATCCCGCATTTTAAGCCCCTTATATCTTCTAAAATATTCATTGTAATGATTCGCTCCAAAGAGCAATTTTAATCTACATTGAATGCACAACGTATCTAACGTATTTAATTGGATAAGGAATACGAGTAATAATGTATTCTTTATTCATATAAAAAAATTTGGCTTATTTACGAAGCTATTTTAGCTTCGTAAACAAGGAGTAAGGAGTCCTTAGGAGATAGACATATACCATTGCGCCTGTTTTGTAGATCTTTTTAAGATATACAATTCTATAGTAGATTATTTTGGTCTATCTCGTAAGGTTTAGCCAGCGTTTGCAATGTAAGCGCACAAAAACATGTTTTTTATCACAAATCTTTGAAATTCTCATATTTCCTCTAATATAATATGCATGTATTATATATAAACTTTCCTCTTGAATAGCAAAATAGAGTCAGAAAAAGTCTTGTTACACTTTTTTATCCGCTCAAAGCGTGTAACGCGCGATAAGGAACTTCGTTTCAAAAACTTTTCAACTTTGAATTAGTTATTTCAATGAAAAATCTTTTTTTTCCGGTAGATTGGTTGTAATAAGTTGTAAAAACGTGTCCATCATAATTGCATGCGGAGCGCAGTAAAAGGCTAATTATAGGTTAATATAGGCAATTAAAAACACGTCAATTACTCTATTCAAATGATACATCGTTGGCGGTCGTCATCAATATGTCGATGGGCTTATGGCAACATGGAGTCGTGCAAACTTGACTTGTTGTAAAACTGCACTAAAAAACTATTTACTGTCTATCTAATAAGTAAGATTATTGTTACCGAGATGTGTCTGGTGTCATCATCATCAACAGCCTGTAATAGTCCACTGCTAGACATAGGCCTCTCCTTAGAGGAGGTTTTGCCTTTTTTTTTTTGTTGACGGGGTGGAAAATCCCTTCGGATCTCCTGCTCCTCGGGGACTCAGGGAGCCAGGAGTATGTGGTGATTCCACTAAAAACCACCCCGACGGTCGGCCTCAGGCCTGCGACGAACCATGTTATTTCAGTTCCTCCCCGAATTGACACCATGCCTACTCAGGCCCTATCCCAGCGGAAAATCCTCAATCGCGGCGAGGCGGCCCGATCCCATCTTAATGCAATCAGGCTGCCATTCTATCCCCTACCGCAGCACATAACAGATGATCTTGTGTGTATGAACTTGATATTACACAATAAAATAAAAAAAACGACGTGAGGGGTCTATGGTCGAAACGAGGTTCCTTTCTCTTTTAGGTACACATAGTGTCGGCAAAAAGGTTTGGTACACATTTTTCGGTCTCTTTACCATCTGCTTAGAGAACTTCGAACTTCGTTCCGAAATGCAAATGCGTAGTTTCTGCGAAAGCTTTGCATCTCACAAGCTGTCGCGGCTGATGCCTACAGTGAACGAGCTAAGACGTCGGCTAAATAAATGATTCAATCACGTGAGCTTTTATCCCGGAACTGCATTGCATTTGGTCAATGTCAACTAGTATAAAACTCGTTTGAATATGCTGTTGTTGTTGTTTGTTGTTGTTGTTCTTTTTGATATCTGTTCAGATGGCCAAATCTCGTAATAAATGTTCGCTGGTAGTAATACTTTACTATTTTACTACGATAATACTTTTTATTTCATGACAGTTGTGAGATCGATAGTTGATCGGAACTGAATTTGACCGAATTTTTATTACGAAACTTGACCTTTTACTCATCGATTTAGTGAATTGTAAGGCTATTTCAACGAAAAAACATAAATATTTTAAATCAATTCACGTTTTTTCACTTTAACTAAGGAGATTTTATACGTTTTCGCAACATATCACGATTTTATCGATCAAATGAAATATAGAGCGCCTGCATCATTTTGTATTTTTTTTTTATATGATTTGATTTTAATGAGAGCATTGAGACTATTGTGTAGATAACACAATAGTCTCAATGCTCTCATTAAAATGCGCTGCTAAGGTGCAGAAAAAAAAAGATACCAATGTTACAAGATTAATTGTAACAGATAGGTATAATCTTTTTTAAATTTAATATCATTTTTTTTAATGTTGTCATTATAAGTTACTTTTACGATTATGTAAATTAAATTATAACACTTACTGATAAGTGGGATCCCTGTTCATATTATCACCGAAAATGGTCTTTAATTCTTCGTAGATCTTTTCCTGTACATCTCTTCGTTTGGACAAACAGTGGAGCGTGTAGACTATACCCGATGTTGTAGTGTCGTGACCCTAAAATGACGTGACGTCATAGTTCATTTAAAAAAAAAAATTTTCACTAAATTTTAACCGGCCTATTTTTTGTTAACAGGAAGAAAAATCCCCTCTGATATCCGGCTCCTTGAGGACACAATGGCCAGGAGAATGTGTGGTTTCCACTCAAAACTACTACGACGCGACGGCCAACCTCAGGCACCCAAGACATTTCAACAAGCTAACATCCTCCTTAATTACCAGAACACAGGCATTCTAGAATATCTTACCAGAGCAAGTGTTCAATGACTCTAGTAGTTTATAGTACGCTTGAGGACTTGTATCAAGCAAGGCCAAACGCCATTCGCGTCGCCGAGCACTGGGCAAAAATCGTGTAAAATTTTGCTATCGACACGATAAGTAAGTAGCAGTTTATAATAATATATCAAGAACTAAGAATGTAAAACAGTGTCTTATACAGTTTCACATTCTTAGTTCTTGTAACACATAAGTTATCTGAGGCGTAGAGATGCCCAGAATGTTACCAAATTAGAATTGAAAGAAGTAGAATAGGTAACTAATTGTACTTCAACCACTTAGTTGTTAATACAGGAGTAAAACAAAGAATAATCATTAATCGTCTTAACAATCTTCTGTTTAAAAAAAAGTCGATTCCAGCACTAGGAATAAATCCTGTGTCACGGGGGACTATACAAATATACACACACACACACACACACACACACACACACACACACACACACACACACACATCTTAATCTCATACTATTTATAATCATTGAGAAGATTTAATTTAAATTTACACACATACAAGTAGACCTATAGGAATCTCCATACGATGTCCTATCAAGTTAATTTTCCTATCGGGAAATTGTATTTGAATGTTGTGTCTTCTTATGTTCGACTGACTTAATTTTATTCTCATTCCCAATTAATCCATAGGCACACGTTTCTTTGAATAGATAAAATCATACCATTCTAGGTAAGTTTAACAATTTAACTGAATTCTCGTGCTATGACTTGGTTAAACTGATGGTGTATTTTAAACAAACAATATTTTTCATACTGTAAATCACTAGGTCTAGTGACCTAGTGATTTACATTATGACTTAACTTTCACGGTCACTTAAGTTTCAATATTTTGACCTTAACCAACTTCCAATCACTTGTTTACGAGGGCTAAGATATTGGTATTACTTTATTTAAAACATTACTTGTTACTTGTTATTAGAAATGCATGTATTCGTAAATCCTGAACTCAATGTGTCGATGTAAACCACAGAAGAGGTAGTTTTAAGACAGTCAAACCGTAAAAAATAATAATTATGATAAGAAAGGATAAAAAAATATATGAAGAAGGTAATGGTAGCTTACGTTACATAACGCAAAACTAGCTAAAACGAACCTCAAACATGAAGGTGTCAACTTCTTCCCTTACACTCTCCGCGTCTATCTTAGTACCATCCTGTTCAGCGAGCAGCAACAGATCTAAAAACGCGTGTTTATTCTTTATACCTACAAATAAAAATATTTCATTAGCTACGTGGTTTTTTATATAATTTCATCCAATGCTCTTTTCTCCGTTACGGTAGAATACTTTGATCATGATAATAGGGCATATGTGCAGAAGTAAGTAAGAGGGATTCAGGAGAAAGAGCTTCTACCACCCCCTGTGTGACGGTGATATGTGAGTCCTTCCAGTCGATAATTATCGAGCTGTGATAATTTTATAAGAAGTTGTCTTTTTACACAAAGAAAATGTGGCTTAAGTATTTCCAACTTTGAAGCCCATGATCTCCAAAGCTTTAACGCTACAAAACTGTAGGCTATATAGGGAAACATAAATCTCGTCATATCTTGTACATGTTGGTAATTTGCACTATCTATTGTTCTACACAATGATATGAGCAGAAAAGAGACAAACAACTATAAATAATACTGCATAAGTGCAACGTTCTAATTGACGTACCAAAGCGTGTTATAGTAAATTACTCAAAAGAATTAAAGAACCCGTTAAAGGAACCATGGTCAATTAATGTTATAAGAAATCAGTACTTTATTTTTTACTTGTAGCAATGAAATATCTGCACCGAACGCTTGCTACACTGACAATATGACCTTCATATGCAGTACAATACCAAAGTCTTTATTTATCTAAAAAATAAATAAAAAGAATACTCATATGCACGTGGCATATGAGTATTCTTTTTATTTATTTTTTATTTCGTTTACAACGCGTATGCGCGTATGTAAGTCGCGTTGTCGGCCTTAATGCTCTGGGCATTCTCTACCAGCCAACCTTTAAGTAGTGTAGAAATCTTTGTAAGGTAGCTGCACTGAGGTTACAGTTGTAATTAATGGTAATATATTCTTTAAGGATCCATACTTTCATACTTATATTATAAATGTGAAAGGGCGTTTGTTTGTTTGTTACGCTTTCACTGCTAAACCACTGAACAAGAAACGGAAATAGGAATCAAGGTAAGTGGATGAGAATGAGGAGTTGAGGAATAAAAAGAGAGAGGTCGGCCTCGCTAATTGCGGCGCAGGTGAAAAGGTAACCTTTTAAATGGGAACGTAAAACAGACACCATTTGTGTAGTTATATTAATTTTTTAAAATATTTAAAATAATAATATCATTTGAGATGTGCGTAACCCACTTAAGCTCGTTTAGTGCAGTATGAAAACTATGTACTTAGCCTATCAAGTACCTACTTGGCTTGGCGCCAACTTCAAACAGACTAAAAGTTATTTATTGCTATTTTAATGTTACCTGTTATATTAAGGGTCGCACTTACTTTTGTTTTTACAATTAGATTCGTAATAAAAAAAAATATGCTCTTTGTTAGTACCTATTGTTTGTAGTCGGTTCAACTTTTAACTATCTCTTATAAAATTAGGTTAATATATCTCATCAAGGCTAACACTTCAAAGAATAATTTCAATAAATCTTTTTTTTTTTTAAATGACAACTCCCGCGTTTGGAATATATCTTGTGGCGCAGGGTACTTTACAAACATACATAAAACGGACACAAAGAACACTCAGACTCAGAACAAAAATTTGTGGATCAAACAAAGCGTTGTCCCATGTGAGCATCGGACCCAACAACACTCAGCGTAGTAGTGAGCGGCGTGGCGACCGCTTAAACCACTACGCCATCCGTGCAGTCAATAAATTATAGTTGTGATAAGCCGAAGAAAAATAACGTTCGTAAGTGAAAGTTCGTAAAAATAGTTAATAAGAAAATATGTGTTCATCAAATCACTAAGTATTATTGCCATATCATTTTTGTTCGGTAACAGAAAATAAGTGTCTGACCACTGTGTGTCTGATCGATTTATGTATTAATAACTTTTAACAAGAAAACTATTAATGCTCTTAAACTACTACTACTACTATTAATGCGCTTTATTATATTGTAAAGTAATGAAAAACTATGTATCATTTTCCGATAAAATGAACCAAAAATATGTGTAATACGAAAGTAAATTGACTTTTTTTTTGTAATATTCACGTTGAGAATATCGCAATAAACGAAATAAAATATTGTGGTGACTTCGAAAGACAAAGAAACACAAGCTACGGTACCATCTAGCGAGGACACACCTAACTACGGAGTGACTATTTTTCTGAATCGCACAATGAAAATTCTCGCAACGATTTCCAAATATACAACTTCCCATATTAAATCGTTAGGCCGCGGGCAGCCAGACCCGATCACCTCGCCTAGGGTCAGATCCTCCCTTTACGTTTAAGGTAAATAATACCCGTACCTTCACAATAGTAATGAAGATTTGAAAACATGGATTACAATGATGTATAAATTGTTTAAATTACGTAAACTGAAAAAATATAATATTACCCTATAGAAAAGGACTAAGGAAAGTAAGTAAAACAACGGCTAATATTTTTAAGGTTTTCTTTACCTCCTATGAGTTTCGAGAATATTTATTATCTTATTTTTTTGTGGTATAGAGGGGCAAAAGGGCAGACACCTGCCCTCACCTGATATAAGAAGTACAAAGACTGAACTAACGGTGTTTAAAAAAATAATAAGAAGTGTTAATAATTGATTAACCCAGGAGAGTGGAACTCATATTAATAACGTAATAAAATTTACATAATTTTTAGGTTTTAAATTCAAATCAAGGCAATAATTTTATTTTCGCGCTAAACAAAGTGGTGGTAGGTCAGGGAAAGGTGGAGCAAACCAGATACCGCGAAAGGGCAGCTATGCGCTGGACCGACCAGGTGAAATCCGGAATAGGAAGTTGCGTATCTGACTGTATCCGAAGTGGGTGAAATGGCGGGAGATTGTTAAAGTGGTGTGTCCGTCCGCCTCTGCCATCGACGTGGACATCTCGACACGACACGACAGAGAAGAAAAAAAGTAAGTGTGCCACTTACCAATATCGTTGCTCTCATTTAGACTAGTGATATTGGCTTTTTTCAGTTCCTCACTTCTTGCCTTTATCACTTTATAGGTCTGGCCATGCAAGATCTGAAGAGCCTTGTCTTGCCTCGTCTTGTATGGGAGCAAATTGAAAATTATATCTTCACCCAGTATAGGTATTTGCATTCTCATCGACACAATAGTAGATAACCTAAAACGCAAATAAAAAACAAAACCTAAAAAGAACTGTCGATATGAATGTATTTCATTAATGCAAGAAAAATTACCAAGGTATGGAAACTTACTCTTCAATAGATTTTACATATTCCGATTCGCTGTGTTTCTGTGCGTCAACACAAACTCCCATTATAGATTCTAAAAAGAAACATAAAGTCAACTAATTATTTCTCCTCGATGTAGAGTTAAAGGTTAAAATATTTTGCCATAACATACTACTTAATTAACAGCTGTACGTAAACTACGAATAATAAGAAATTATTATTCGTAGTACGCAAGTCATCCAACACATCCGTATTGTTTAGAAAAATATTTGTAAGAAATACAGAAGAAAAAAGTTTTATAACTGACTATGGTATATTCTATAAAGTGAATCAAATAAATGGTGTTATTTTATTTATCTAGCGTAAACTAGGGATATTTGTAAAATGAGCATTATTAACAACAAAATATGGACATGAGGTCTATGTTTTGTTGTTAATTAAATTGCTTATTTTACAAAAAAAAAACATTGGAAATGCATGACCGATCAATCATGAAGCCACATGGCACGACCTTGGCAAATATTAAACATATTCGCAGCAAAATTTAAACGAAAGATATAGTTATCTGTTATACATTACAGAGTATAATATACAGTGTAGAATGTATCTTACCTGTTACATTGTCAAGAGCAGCTAAAGCCACAAGTGGGAACATATCAATTGACCTTCCATCAGCAATTTTCTTTAGTTTCTCCGTAAATATTTTTTGGTTTTTGCAAAAAACTGGCAGAAAATTTTGAAGAATATTGAAATGAAATGCTGGTGTTAAAAATTTACGATGAGTTTTCCATCTTTGACCTATAACAAATTAGATATAATATCACGTAAAGATCTAATATATTAGTAGATATTTAGTATTAGATCTAATATAATAGTAAAATAGTATAGGAAGTTTACTCTAGGTACATCTTACCGCACTCTAACCGAGTTAAAGTTAACCTCTCTTAGAAGTTTTCTTCCTGGGTGCAAAATAATTACTAATATTTTTTTCCGTTCTTAATCAGTTCTCCAGATCAGCAAATCCATGCGTCACTTTCTTGTTTGTCGATTGTTCTCTCTTTTTATGATAGGGAAATGAGAAAAAGCTAAGAGGCAGCCTCTAACTCAGGAAAATACTTTCCTTCTGCAGGAAGTATTGTAGAAAAGGTGCCCCTGAAGATAAGTATGTTGCTACGAGGTATTCGTTCTTTATTACACTAGCCGGTTGTTTAAATATTACTTAATTTAAAAATAATACTTTATTGTACCCTTGATCAAAAGTAAAATGAATTACCTGTAGAGGTGAGTAATCCTTGTCCCAGCCAACAGGTCAGGAAACCATATGATTGTCCTTTTGTAATGTAGTCCATACTGGTAATTAGTGGCTGAAATAAAATGTTATATATTGTTTCTAACTACGTAAAAGACTTAGTTGATATGTACTACATGCGAGAGTATTGAACACTTACATACTTTTTATCTTTCTAATTTGTAAATGGTATTAGAAATCAAAATAATAATCTTTATTGTAACAATAAGCGGATTTCAAACATACAGCCCTGATTCCCAAACTAGCGCGAGCTGTGTGTCGGGAGTCAGTTCCATCTCAAAGACAAGGTGAACAAATAGTTACATTAGTAGATACAATTTAGTTAAGTAAGTAATTAGATATGTTTGTGTGTGGGAGTGTGTATGACGAAATACATGACGTGAAGGTATTTTATAATTAGTATTAAAATACTGAGGCTTTAAAATATAATTGGCGATCATAATCTAATCATCTAAATAAAAATAAATTCGTTTCATTATTCTATGCTTAATTTCAAAGTACTCATTACTTAATTTTAAAGGCTAATATTTTTAGATAAAAGTATATTTTTGCCACTGTTTAAATTTGCAGAAAATGTTGCATCAATGAAGTCGTAAAAACTCTAGTAAAACAATACTGAATAATTCTTCTTCTTCTTCTTTAAGTGCCTCTCCAACTAGCGAAGGTTGGCAGTCAGCACTGCGCACTCCTTCTTTGTTTTTTGCGATTCGAAAGAGATCAGCAGCACTCGCGATTCCCGTCCATTCTCGCATGTTACGTAGCCATAAATAATTTGTTAATCATTCTTAATAAAGCTTATTTATACTAGTTTATAAAGAGCTGATTACTAAACTACACTCACACTGACATACATACACACACACTAATAAATGCTTTATTTACGCTTAATGCAGGCTTATATAGTTTTTGTGTTCTTATATAGCTTATTTATACTAGGTTATAAAGAGCTGATTACTAAACTACACTCACACTGACATACACACACACACACTAATAAATGCTTTATTTACGCTTAATGCAGGCTTATATAGTTTTTGTGTTCTTATATAGCTTATTTATACTAGGTTATAAAGAGCTGATTACTAAACTACACTCACACACACACACACTAATAAATGCTTTATTTACGCTTAATACACTAGGATTAAGTTTTTTGTATGTATCAGTTTCTGTGGTATGTTAATAACTGCACGTGAACCAAGTTATAATTAACTTACCGTCAGTATTACTGACAGCTATATGGTCTTATATCATGGCCATTATATTGGCCTTTTATATATGGCCATTAGATTCTTTTAATTCATATATGGTATGTATCCATATGTAACATTATGAGGTTTGATATATCTGTATATATCAAGCTTGACATTTAAATTAAAAACATTTTAGCAACACACGATGACTATTTTTGGTAACTAACTAGATTCATTTTTAAAGAAGAAATTTGCTAATGCTGCTGTCTGCTAAAATTCTACAAAGTCGCATTATAAGTATCACATTTAGCAAAGATAAAAAGACGGGCGAAGCAGAGAACTACTAGGTTCTGTCTAGACTTGGCAACAGGGATATGGTTCTAACGAAGGCTGTCTTTAGTGCAGCACATGGCAATTGCATCATATCAACAGCCTTTAATAGTCCACTGCTGGACATAAACCTCTACTTAGACAGGAGGTTTTGGTCTACTATACCACGATGGCCAGAAGGTTTGGTATAGGCTTTAAAGTTTTCCTTCCTCCTTTCTAAGTAGAGGCCCGTGTCCAGCTGTGGACTATATTATAGGCTGTTGATGATGTGTTACATTATTTATTTATTTATTTTTTATTTTAATTCTTTTTGCACACATTATGTCGTCGTAAAACATTTAATTTTATTCGCGTCACTATAAAACTGCAAAACTTTAGTTCATTTAATGTCAGGATATTCTTTGGTTATTTATTAAGTTCATTGGTAGTTGAATATATTATTTATTATTGGAACATCTAATTATATCTACGAGAAACAAATAGGCACGTAAAGAAGTGCTATACTGCATTGTTTATACGAGTATGACCGACTTCGCGAGAGATCAACTCTATTATAAAAAGTGATATACGTTTATTATCGTTCGTTTCATAATCTGGTTAAGTCGTTGGTATTTAAATTATTTTAAGTAATGTGGGGTAAGTAATGTATATAATTATATTTATTGTTGTATAAACATATCATACTTTTTTGTAAAGACTGCTCCCGCATTAGAAATATATCCTGTGTCGCAGGGGACTTAACATACTCACATGAAACGGACACTACGAACACCCAGACAACAACAATTTGTTGATCGCACAAAATGTTATCCCATGTGGGTCGAACATACAACACTCATCGCAAAAGGAAGCGGTTAGGTGACCACTTAAACCACTACGCCATCCATTCAGTAAAGGTTTGAATGAATTAACGCGCTCACGATAGCCGGCTATGGTATGGGTATTAAGTACACACTACACTGTCTCTCTGAAACATTATGATTCATCCTAAGCCCTAGAAGAAATTGCAACTAGCAATAAGGCCGCCCTTTGTACATTACGTGTACAACAATTGTATATGTATATCATGTGACTCTTGTAAAACTGGCGTACAAATAAAGAATTTTCGATCCCTATCTCTAAGTTTATATCTATTCTATCTATATCTAAATACAAGTAATTCTTAACTCGGACGGATCCTTTTTTTTTTAACACTTGGCAATACTGACGTGCCCCTATGCTGCTTTCCGTATGTGTCCGTGTCAGTGTAAATTTTTTCGTCGGTGGCCCAAAAAGTAACAGAAAAAGGGTTTTTCTAAAATATAATTATATGTATGCACGAACAAAGCTTAAGGTATTTTTTTCTACAAAATCTCCAGTAATATAGATGTTGTTTATGATTGAAAAGCAACGAAAAGAACGACTAAAAAGAATTAGTTGTTAATTTATTCTATTTATTTATAAATAAATGAAATATACTAAAAATTAAAAAAAGAGTAATAATTTTCGACCATTAAACAATCTAATATAATACATATTTTTTTCCAATTTACATTTTTTTATATTTTTTCTAAATTTACATTTTTTTTTAAATATACTTTTTGTAAAGTGAGTATGTAATAAACATTTTTTATTAACGATAAGTGACAGTTACATAGGAATGTTATTTGCTGACGAGTACTGGTTTAACTGTTAGCTTTTTAAACTGAAGTTTTGGGAGTTGAGAGTTGCGAACATTTATACATACATTAAAATATAAGGAGTATATAATGTGTATCAAAAATAATTTTAAATATCAGTGCAGTTAAATCTACATCGAATGTAGAGATTATATACGTATATATATTTTTTAAACGTAAAACGACTAATAAAATTTATTGTTACATATTATTACAAAAAAAAAAAAAATTATCACATGTTAGTACACAGTAGCTACAAATTAGATAGTTATTTAGTAAATCTTTGGGTTAACTGTTCCAAAATAACTTAAAAAAACTTACCTCTATATATTTCGGATGATTCAAAACTACGTATGGAGTTGAGAAAAAGTGAATCCTGATTACGTCACCATATTTGTCTATAAATCTTTGAATCAAGTTCAAAAATTCTGAAACAAATAATAATATTAAATAGCGTGAGATAGCGAACACATATGTCTGCACCTTATGGTGACCTGTTAAACGGCTTACCAGTCGATTTGCAAACTTTGTACGAAAAAACACTTCTTAAAATTAATAATTTTTCAGTTTTTCACAAACTGAATTTATTACTGTGCGAATCGACACCTCCAGAAAATTGTGATGACGATTCGCACATTTTGTATGCCATGCCCGTGCCTACCGTGTTTAATCTGATTATCAGTGTGAAAGTTTAGATGTATATGTTACCGCTAATGTGCGTATATCAGTCGTAGTGCAGATAAGTCATTAATCTGGTCCAGTCCGATAAAGATGAACAAATTGTTTCAGTTCTTACATTAACTATGTAAGAACTTGCTTATTCTTCCTACAAATAAGTGCAATATATCTACTTATTACCTCAATTTTAGTAATCTTTAAATAATCAGTAATAAGAATCCTTAACATATTTGCAATAACTCAAACGTATTGCACTTATAAGTAGTAAATGAAGATCATAAATAACTAAATATGCTAATTATAAATGTAATTACTGTACTTATTGTAGATACAGTTAGTCAAATTACTTAATAACGTGTCTAACTTATTCCTATCTATAGTTATGTCGGTCTTGATAAGTAAATCATAACACAAGGACCTAGATATTGCAGTTATACTTAGTATTAAAACCGGCTCTGTCATAGATACGTAAAAACTAAATCTCGTTCTGCTGATTACGAATAAGTACTTAACTCAATTCGACCAAAAACTCAAGTTATCGCACTTTTCGTAAGGAGGGCAGCACAGGGGTCTGTTCTTGGACCCCTAATGTGGAATATAGGGTACGACTGGGCCCTTCGAGTTGATTTTCCCCCTAGGATGGGTGTAATTTGTTACGCCAATGATACTTTGGTCTCAGCCCGGGGGGCAAACTTTCAAGAAGCGGCGCACCTGGGGAGTCGTGGTGGTCGGGCGCATTGAGGCGCTGGGCTTACGGGTGGCCCTGGTTAAGACGGAGGCCCTCTTATTCCATGGGCCGCGTCGTCCACCCCCTGGTGCCTCAGTCGTGGTCAACTCGGTCCTCGTACCGGTTCAGGCCCAGATAAAATATCTGGGCCTGATCCTCGAAGGGAGGTAGCTCTTCTACGAGCACTTCCGACCGATCGCTGCGTCTGCCCTTGGGCGACTTTTGCCTAATCTGGGTGGACCCAACATCGCAACGAGACGGCTGTACAAGGGGGTTATCCGGTCAATGGCACTGTACGGTGCACCAGTGTGGGCGGTGGCTCTGATCTACAGTATATCTACGGTCTGAATAGGATACGCCTCTGGCGCCCTCAAAGGATATTGGCGGTTAGAGACATACGGGGTTACCGCACCGTTTCGGCCGGATTTGAAGGCGGAAGTGCTCGCCGAAGTATATCGGCGGACGGCTGAGTTCCGGGCGGAAAGTGGCAGTCAGCCCCCGCCCGAAGAGATACACGAGTGGCGTGAAGCCGTGAAGTGGCGTGAAGGCGCTCCATCCTTTCTTTCCAACTAACGCCAGTCCTTTCCGAGCACGGCTGCTTCGGGAAGTACCTGCACTTGGTTGCTAGGAGGTAGTTAAGTCCCGCCTGACACCACCGCGATTGCAGTGAGGACTCGGCCCCGCACACGCTGGCAATTTGCCCGGCTTGGGCGTCGCACCTCCGTGTCCTTATTGCAGTCATTGGCAGGGACCTTTCGCTACCGGCCGTCATAAGCTCACTGGCCGGTAGTCACAGATGTTTCACCGCGGTCGCATCCTTCTACGAAGACGTCATCTCGCAGAAGGAGGCGGCGGAGAGGGCCTGGGAGGACAACCTCTGCTCAGACCCAATTCCGGAGGCGGTGTCCATGTGTGCCGGACGTCGCCTAAATGGAGAATGTAGCCGAAGATGGTGCCCGCGCCATTGCGAGCAGACGCTAGGAGGTGCAAATGTCTTAATAAAAGCAGTTTCTGGATCTCTCCTATTACAGGCGCAGAGTGGCACACCGTGTGGTTTTAGTGGGTCCGATTTCGACACACCACCCCACCGCAAACGCCGCTGGTGGGACGGCCCGAGGGGGGTTTACAGATGTACAAAAAAAGTATGATGTTGCGTTCAAAAGTACTATTCACTCATTTTTTTACATTATTATGTATATATTTTCCACAAATTTATATATTACCAAAAGAATTCCCAAAAGCACTCTGAAATCTCGCCTGTGCTTCTTGTCCGTATTTTATTTTAAACCGACTTTAAAAACACAAAAGAGGAGATTATTACTTCAGATTTCATTTTTTATTTATTTATTTATTAGGCCACCAACAGCGAGTACACTATTACAATGTATTTATAAACGTATAATTTTTTTATCACGCCACTAACAGGTAGGCAGCATGGACCAACAAAACTGCAATAACAATTTACAAAAAAACAATGTAAACTTAAAAATTATTATAAGACTTACAAAAACTTACAAAACAAAGAAAAACAAACAAAATTAAATTGAAAAATAAACTTCTAAAAGTTTGCATTTCTTGTATCTAATACAATTCTCTTGAGGCACTGCTATAAATATCTATGATATTGGCATAAACATTATGCATATGAAAGGCAGCAAATAATCGGGCTATTGAGTAATGCAATTTAAGGTTCGTGTGGTATTTAGGTCTACAGAAATATTCTCGCCTATTACAAGAACTAGCGTTCAATCTAGGCACATTAAGGCAGATCCTACCGAGCAACTAGGCTTATCCTGGTGAAACACGTATGCTAACGAAGGTGTCAAATAATATTCGCCATCGAAGTGTAGAATGAATTGCTACCAGATGGATAAATTGATCTAAATAACATTTCCCTCAGCAACAATACTTTTACTCTCTGTGAAGATACCTTATGCAGTTTTCTGTAGGCTTTACAATGTATATGCAAAATTTCATGACGATAAGTAGAATGGTTTAGGCATATAATCATTACAAACAAATATACTCGCTGTAGTGTTGCATTTTTCTTTGACGAAACCGTTAAGAAGAGTTTGAGCTCTGGTAACCTCACTCAAAAAGCAACAAAAGGGACGAAATGTTTGAGCTCTGGTAACCTTACTCGAAAAGCAACGAAAGGGACGAAGAGTTTGAGCTCTGGTAACCTCACTCGAAAAGCAACGAAAGGGACGAATAGTTTTAGCTCTGGTAACCTCACTCGAAAAGCAACGAAAGGGACGAAGAGTTTGAGCTCTGGTAACCTCGCTCGAAAAGCAACGAAAGGGACGAAGAGTTTGAGCTCTGGTAACCTCACTCGAAAAGCCACGAAAGGGACGAATAGTTTGAGCTCTGGTAACCTCAATCGAAAAGCAACGAAAGGGACGAAGAGTTTGAGCTCTGGTAACCTCACTCGAAAAGCAACGAAAGGGACGAAGAGTTTGAGCTCTGGTAACCTCACTCGAAAAGCAACAAAAGGGACGAAAAGTTTGAACTCTGGTAACCTCACTCGAAAAGCAATGAAAGAATTGCCAAGCACCGGTTTTATGTGAGGCCGCGATATCACTCCGGTAGAGCCTGACCTGTAAAATACCTCGGTCAAATTTTAACGGTACTCAACTCAATTTAATGTACTCTTAATATTAACTTTTTTTTAATTATTGCGTGCCCTTGTCAATTTGATGCAATTTACTTGTAATTGACTGTACTATTCTTCAATACCTGTAACACAATGTTGTTCGTATATTACAATTTGGAAACCAATATATAAATAATAATAATAATAAGATTTTCGTACAACTGACACACAACGCTATTTAGTTTCAAACTAAGCAGAGCTTGAACTGTGACAGCTAAATTGACTGATAGAATACTTATATACTTTTTTTTTGTAAATACATACATTTTATACGTAGAAAATACCAAAACTCCGAAACAAACATTTGGTCCGACCCGAGAATCAAACCCGAGTCGAGTACCACCGAGGCAGTAAATAATACGTAAATAACAAATACCAACAAACGTGAGACATCTGGATAATGATGATAATATTACTGCTGTAAGTGATAGCAGTGCTCATAAAATAATTTATTATTTGGTAGCTTTATCAATAAAAAGATAATGTATTTATAGATATGGGTTTTAATAAATTAAAACATACAACTAAGTACTGTTACCACATGTTTGAAGATAAATATTGACAAACAAATTAGTTAAAAAAAATAATTAAATCTTGAGATTCTGCCTGAAGGAAAACTGATTTTTTTTATTGTACATCATGGTTGTATATACAAACACTCACGCCAATATAATATACAATCCAAATAATACATTTTTATCCCATTTGTGTAATAATGGGCAGGCCTATAACCATTACCCAGGCACTTTACTCCTAATTTTCCCGTCTCATCTCAGATGGAAAAATTTGACATTTTTAAAAATAAATTAGTAAATAAAATAATAAATTTAAAGTAATAATTAAATCGAATATATCTTTGATTTTTTTATGCTTTTCTTAAGTATTAGGTGTTAATATATATATTTATTAATATATTTGTAACACTGTAAGTGTAATGAGCAGTTTTTTTTTTTAAAGACAACTCCCGCATTAGGAATATATCCTGTGTCGCGGGGGACTTTACAGACATACATGAAACGGACATAAAGAGCACTCAGACTCAGAACAACAATTTGTGGATCACACAAAGTGTCGTCCCATGATGGGTTTGAACCCACAACACTCGGAGCAGTAGGAAGCGGCGTGGCGACCGCTTAAACCACTACGCCATCAGTGCCGTCAAACTTGTTGACTGTTGAAAGTTGACTTCATAAATAATAAAAGAAAAAGATAAGAACTGAAAGCAATGGGAAAAAATGGGCTATAATATAAAAGGGGAATAGCTTATATGGATAGATGGGGCAATGCAAGGAATAATGTGAGAAGGTCAAAGTCCCATTGTCTGTTAATCTTACAAAAGAGCGATTGGAAAAAAATGTTGATTATCAGATAATTGTAGGTTGTTATTAGTCGATCAATTATAGATTGTTATCGTTCTACACGCGACAACTGGGTGTCTTACATCTAGTATTATACTCAAAGTCGTGGTTTTTAATGCTTCTGTAATTACTGTAAATAGTAATTAAAGTTATGGTAATTAGCATACACATGCCTAAAAATAGAATAACAATTTGATTACTCAAAAATGTTGAACCTTGAGAACACTTATCATAATTTATTTATAATTTGGCCTTTGTCATTTGTGATATATACCTACATATATATTTGTAGAAATAAATCGGATAGTGACATATTCTCCATGTACCTACCTAATTCCGCCAAAAGAAAAATATTGTTTTTAAAGTATAAGCTAACTAATCATATAAGGCGGGCGTGTTGATCTAGCGGTTAGTGACCCTGACTGCTAAGCCGGAGGTCGTAAGTTCGATTCCCACCCAGGACAAATATTGTGTGGTGAACACGGTCATTTCTTCTGCGTCTGGGTGTTATTTATCTACTATATGTATGTATTTAGAAATATATAAATATGTTTATCAGCAGTCTGGTTACCATAGTACATGCTCTGCCTAGTTTGGGATCAGACGGCCGTGTGTGAGATGTGTGAGGTATGTGAATTTTTTTATTAAAGCGCAGGGTTGAATAATCAGGAGATAAAAATTAAAAACATATTTATGTACCGAAAAAGCAAAACAAAAGAATGTTTGACATTACCGCGCCCTCAATGACGCTGTATGAAGAATACATTAAAATAATATTAAACAATGTGTTCTCACAACAAACTTTTAAAATAAACAATTAAATATTATAAATTTTATTACACTTAATATTAAATATTTCCATGAATATTAAATTATATTATTTATTACAATTAATATTAAAAATTCGTGTATTCATTCTGATATATGTATCAAGTAATTTAAAATATATTAATAACACTGATATGTACATATTTACAATCATCATCATCATCTGCCTACCCTTTTCCCAATTTTTATTTGGGGTCGGCGCAGTATGTATGATTTTAATTTGTATCATACTATACTGCATTACAATAATTATAAAAAATAAATTTTAAATCGTACCTGAAGATTTAACAACAAACAAATGTGCATTTCCCAACAGCGGCAGAGGTATAGGACCAGGTAAATTAATTGTATAGCATTCTTTAAGTAAACGGATCCAATTCACCACTAACAATAACACTAAAATGAACACTAAAAGTAATATTATCATATTTGATTTTTTTTTACTGTGCGGACGACTTCATCCAGTGAAGTATGCAATCAGAATGGGTAGCGGGTGTAAAATATCACAAGAGCAAACACGCAAACAGCCGGGCGGTAAACGCCGCGCGAAAAAAAAAAATGAGGCACTGACAATCTGATTAATACGCTACATTAAAAAAACTATTCACGTGCCTCTCTGAACTAGTCACGTACTAATATTTACGGCTTGTGGCAGTTCTGTGTTCAATTAACGGTCCCTTATTTTAGTATAAAGGTTTGAATAACTTAATAGTAATTTTACCTGACTACGGCAGAAGGAGGATATGTTTTCAAGTGAATGTATATATGAATGAATATTGCCATGGCACGCTTTGTAGTCTAAACGACTTGACGAATTATGGTTCGAGGGGTGTCATCGACTCTGGGTATACGACGGTTATAAAAACCAACCTAGCTAATATTCTGAGACCATTTACCAATACTTAAAACTTTTCGGTCTGCCAGAAAAATCTGTAACAACGAATATTATCTGCTAAAAAACAATATTGCCATGTTTTGGTATATGATAGTTTATGATGTAAGAGGGTAACCGAGCAGACGGTTCACCTGATGATAAATAACTGCCGCCGCGGTAACCTAACTCACTCAGTAAAAGGCAACGAAAGAATTGGTTAACACATGTTTTATTGGAGACTAGTATCCCTCCGTTCGAGGCGGCCCATTTGTGCAAAAGCATGGCTTTCAAACGTACATCCATTACTCCATTTGTAATCTATAGAAATAAATAAATTTGAAAAGTCTGTTTGTAATGTCAAAATAATAGGTTTTTTATTTGTACTATTGTCTGCACGGTACCTATGCCTAAAATTCAGTCTGTTTGTTAAATATTATCAAAATCGGTCCAGTCGTTTTTAGTCGTGATAATATTTTACTACCAGGTAGCCGTCTATATAGGGAGTAACTTAGGCTATTTCTGTTTTAGAAAAATCCTATAAATCTTGCCTAATCCGCGAAACGAACCCATTAAGTCGCGGGCACCAGCTAGATTGTAATTATGAAGTACGCATTAGAATGCACGGATGGCGTACTGGTTTAAGCGGTCGATCATACAACACTGTGTGATCCACAAATTTTTGTTCTGAGTCTGGGAGTTTATTGTGTCCGTTTCGTGTATGTTGGTAAAGTCCTCCGTGAGACAGGATATATTCCTTGTACTTCTTCTTTAAAAAAAAACATTCTTATAAATGTATATAAAATATATGATCTGACAATTTAGGTATTTCCGTAAGGAAGTACATAGTTAAACCCTGCGTTGTGTCTAGTAAAGGTCAACTAGTACCAGCCACTTAGTCTGACTAATTGCAAAATATTAAATGCGCGTATGACGAAGCACTTTTGGTGCATGAGTCTTATTTTGATACTATAGTTATACAGTTATCCACCTTTGTACATATATTACGTCTAAGCTAGCGTGAGCGTCACTCTAGTGGTTCAGTATTTTCATACTGAACATTTGACGGGCCTGTTGGTCTAGTGGTTAGCGACTCTGACTGCTAAGCCGGAGGTCGTGGGTTCGATTCCCACCCAGGACAAATAATTGTGTGATGAGCACGATTATTTGTTCTGTGTCTGGGTGTAATTTATCTATATTATGTATGTATTTAGAAATATATAAGTATGTTTATCAGCAGTCTGATTACCATAGTACAGGCTCTGCCTAGTTTGGGATCAGACGGCCGTGTGTGAGATGTGTGAAATTATAAAAAAAAAAAAAAAAAAATTATACACTTCGTAATAACTTCACATAATCTTACACTCGGCAAATATCCCAAACAAGGCGGATCTTGTGCTATGATACCCAGACTGCTGATAAACATACTAAAGTATTTCTAAATATACACATTTCAGATAAATTACAGACACAGAACAAATGATGGTGCTCATCACAAAATTATTTGTCCTGTCCTTTCCTGCGGTAGTGGAAGCGGATCTAACTCAATGTCAAAATAACATTCTTGCTTCAAATCGGAAAGATATGAAGCTAGATAAGTGGGTGCCACATTATCAGCGAGACTTACGCGTTTAAGCATGCATAGCACTACTGAATCGGCATAGAAACGAGGAAATTCTGAATCGAAATGTTACCTGCGATGAAAAGTGGATCTGTACAAGAACCGTAAGCGTTCGTCTCAGTGGGGGGCGACAAGGGTACAGCGCCTAATCAGTGCGGAGCTTGATTAAGATATGTTGACGATTTCGCCCTGACCTATGGCCTATGTTTGTAGGGTAACTCCGTCATACGGACGGACGGATTTCCAAAATTCTTTTTTTGTTTGAAAGGGGTTTATACCGAAATGGACCCATTTAAATTTCATATAGATCTGATGATGACTTTTGGAGACAGGCAACGGAATTAAAAAAAAAATACAGTCGAATTGAGAACCTCCTCCTTTTTTTGAAGTCGGTTAAAAAATATCAGCAAATCAACCGCAATTGCTGCTAGCTTTTTAGTGTTCTATGTTAGTATTGTTAGAAGACGGTTCAACTTAAAAAAAAAAGATTTATCCTCCCAGAAAAACCCTATAAAATTTTGCCCGATCCAAGAATCGAACCCGATGCCTCACGTATAGCCGCTAACTGTTCGAGCGCCCGCGTGCAATACCGATGAAGCCGCCCTTTTTTTCGTCCGGAAATTGCCCTTCGGACGTTCCCCTCCTAACAGCCGGTGGGGTGGTTATGAATTTCATATCCGATCAAGTTATTTTATCTTTATTTAAATGAGTTTATTACTTAATTTTAATACAATTATATCGTGGCATGTTGTGGAATGTCGTGGGACGCCGCAGCATGTCGTGTCATGCGGTTGCATTTTACACATTATCATGCTACCATATGCCACGAGGTACATAGAACGCAGGAGTATAGCCTCCCTCCCTCGGAGTAAGGGGCGGCAGACAGTCAATCAGTTTCGTCTGCGCGGATACAAAGTATGTTGCGTCGTTCTGATTGACTGGGATTTAGTATTATTAGCAGTTAGTTGAAAATGAAGAGAGACAAACACAAACTGATATATTGAAGCAAAAACAATTCTGGGTACATCATTAGTGGAGCACACGAAAACACTCAGTGTGAGTCAAGACGCGCGTGCTTCCTTCTTTGCCCACGCGCCCAGCACAGGTGCACCCCATTTGCCGACAACACAGCCACATCCGGCTTAAACCTTATTTCAATTAGTTTGGCTGTCATACACCAAGACGTGGCGCGGTCTAGTTGTATCGAAAAGGTAAAAGTAAAATAATATGAATTCTAAACACATGGAAATATGGATAAAAAGAACTTGATCAGAAATAAAATCGACGTGACGACGACGACGTGATGAGATAAAAATACATTAGACATGCAAATTATGAAAAAGTTTCATTTTCGTTTCGATATCTGTTTTTGCCGCCGCCTTGAAAATTCCGGCCGTGTGTGGAGAGCACGCTCTGCACACCCGTGCCCGTCGGCCCTACAGTGGCAGAAATAGATATTAATACAGTGCGTGCTGCAATCGAAGACGGACCGCATCAATTTTAGAATAATGTAAATGAAATTCTATTGCACATCCAATTACTTTTCAATTCTTAGCTTATTTTTAATTAATCATCAAAAAGTGTATCATTAATTACATTAACAGTTTTTGACAGAATTTATGACCTAAATTTTTATTTAAATATTTCTGGTAACTATTTTTTTATCACAGTCCCCATAGTAAAAAGTGGGTTGAATAAACCCTACAAGTATTTTAAATTAAAGTATTTTGTACATGGGATCTAATCTTGAGCATTTAAATTTTATTTGTTCATTATATTAGGTCTGCTAATTATTTAAAAGACCTTAAAATCTTGGTAACAACCCTGAGAAATAATAAAGCACTGCTTCAACTTGCTAGTAACTTCCAACACATGTTTTGAGGGTAGGTTGGAAAATCATAAGGGATAAAAACAGTCCATACTATCGCCCTCTGCCGTGCACTCTAGGGGTCTAATATGTGCCTTCCAAAGACCAAACCACGGCGTCCAATGCAACGACCAGCAGTTGCACGCGGAAGGTGGTACACGCGACTTAAAATTACTGGCGCGGCCAATGTGGTTCTTGGCACGGGGCGGGTGGCCCAATGGCCACGAGAGGGGCGACGGGACTGCCCTCGGAATCTTCACACTGAGCGGAGTGACTGACGGCGGTCAATGCCGAACACCGGCAACCGGACGGCCCGACCCGCAGACGCCGACTAATCGGGAGCGGGGGCCTTTTACCTATGTAGGAGACTGGCCAAGAGGAGGAAACCTCTATAAAAATCACACGGACAAGATGGCTTACGCTGTATGTCCAGATATTCCCTCCACGTATCCCTCTGTTGCGCAGAGGGCACATGTGAGGGCTACGTCGGAGGACGACGTCCCACGGGGCGACGGGATCGCCGTCGGAGGCTGCGCATGCAGCAACCGGCGGCAATCACTGCCGAACATCGGCAACCGATCGGCCCAACCCGTAAACGCCGAGCAGTCGGGAGCGGGGGCCTTCACCAATGGGGAGGAGGGTAGAGAAGGTCACGAGGAAGAAAACCTCTATAAAAAATCACCCCTAACCCAAGCTGAGGAAGCCCGGTGAGGAGGTTAACGGCTGGGGGGGTATCCCAGTCGCTAGGGCAACACAGCGTAAGCTCACGCGAAAGAGCAACCCAAAAAATGGACGCGACTAATACGAAGAAAGTACCCCAGGAGGGTACCGACCGCGCCGCGGTCGGAGAATCCCTCGGCGCTCCGGTTGAGATCGGAGTGTCCAGCCCACCGTATTCTGGGGGGGCAAAGTTGCGTGCACAGAGGTGTCCGAGTCCGGGCACAACAATTGGGGCGCACACGCCTAGTTTTGTGCGTCCCAGGACGCCGAGTCCGGCGTCTTCTCGCGCCCAGTCGGGTCAGCGAGGAAGAGCGGGTAGGCGGGCGCAGACGATCGAGCGCCCGATCT